GAAAAATCCTTCCCACAAAAACCCACAAGCCTGGAACAGCTATTTATATCAATCACGCAAGAAGAGTGTACGATAATAAAAGCCAAAACGCTAATCTAATTTCTCATCCTCAGATTACACACGCCCGTCTTTACCCCCAATCAAGGCAAAGGATTCTCGACCTAATCTTCCTGGTCACGCCACTGTATGTACTGTACTTGCCGAGCCACGTGGGCGCTCGGCAAGGGTAGTCGATAAGCCTTTTCGAAAGCTCTGTGCAGGTAAACATATCCAGTGTGATGAAGTGTAAAATATACCAAATATGATAAATATACTCCAGTGTGATGAAAATTAAAACATATCCAGGGTGACAAGGCGTCAAATACATCAAATGTGATATATATACTCCAGTGTGATAAGAATTAAAACACCCAGTGTGGTAAGAAATAAAACACATCCAATGTGATATATATACAACCCTACGAAACGATCACATATTTACCCATTTTTTCTAACGACATTTCATTCCTTATCTATCACTCCATATTCTAAAAGTCTCACAAAAAACGAAAACCAAAAAAGGAAATAGGGAACTCTAAGACATTTCTTGCGGGCCAACACACCCGCTCAAATCTATGCAGTACGATAAAATTATTTTCCTTCCCGTTCTGTTCCCGGTTGTGTAAAGTAAGTCAGAGCCACTGAAATATTTAGAACTTCATCCGGAACATATCCAGACCCACGTACAGTAACCGGAATGTTTGAACTTCATCTTGAACAAATCCAGAACCAAATAAAGATACTGAAATACTTTGAACTGCATTCTGAACAAATCCAGAACCAAGTAAAGTTACTGATATACGTTGAACTGCATCCAAAACACATCTAGAACCAAGAAAAGTTAAGTTGGCTGCGGATACATTCTTTATAATCCATAAATTACAGAAAATACTCCTCGTGTCGTCCTCCTTAGAGCTTAGGATTGGGAGGAGCAGGAGGAGGAGGAGGAGAAGGAAGGAGGAGGAGGAGGAGGAGGAGGAGGAGGAGGACGGGGGGAGGAGAAGGAAGAGTAAGAAAAGAAGAAAAAAGAGAAGGAGTTGGAAAAGGAGAAAGAGGAGAAAGAGTAAAGAGCAAGAACAGGATGACGAGGAACAGAAAGAAGCGAAGAAGAAATTTAAGATAAAACAGGGAAAGAAAAAAAAAAAAACCTACCCTCGTTAATAATAATACTCGCGCAGATAAAGTTGAAGTTATAACAGCCGCTCTGTGCCGTCGACGGAAACGTAAAATCTGTGACAGAGACATACAACCTGGCAGCTGGAGCATTTAATCTCTTTTCTTACTTCATCATATTGGCTGTGAAGACTGCATTTCCGTTTAAATGTTCCATATTAAGGCCAATTACCACGGTTTCCTATTCATGTTTTTAAGGAGTACACTCTCAAGCAATCGCAGATAAAACTACGCCTAGGTACAAGCATCTGGGGAAAATGTGTATGTATACATGTGTGTATGCATGTGCGGGATGACTGACTGGTTGAAATAATTTTACAAATATCTACAACAGGAAGGAAATTCGACGGAGGAAATTATATCAGAAAGTCATCATGCACTGAATGAAACAATAAACGTGTTTTTATTATCAGTAAGTAAAACTACTGATGATGTGTAGATAACTATATGTTTAGATTATAAGAGACAACAATAGAACTTGCAAAAGGCACACACTTTTTTTTTATTTGATGTGAAAAAATATTCGAAATGTTTCTGATTCCCCGGCCTCACACACCACACACACACACACACACACACACACACAACACACAACACCACACACACACACACACATATATATATATATATATATATATATATATATATATATATATATTATTATATATAATATATATCTGTAATGTGTATATATTTTAAATGTTTTTATAATATTTTATTACATATTCCGTAAGACAAAAATCATCTTGCTCCTAAATCAGTTTGGAGGAGTTTGAGGAGCCATAATGCTCTCCCTTTCTTCTTAAATAGTAAACCAGTCTTTTAAGGCTTAGTTGCTTGTTCAGTAATCCTTAATGACAATTGGTTGATCAGGACGTTCTATATATTTCGCACAGGGGGGGGGGGTGAGGGAGGAGGAGGAGAAGGTGAAGGAAAAGAGGGAGAAGAGGGGGAGAGCGAGAGAGGGGAGAGGGAGTGAGAGGGAGAGGGAAGAGAGAGGGGGAGAGGGAGTGAGAGGAGAGAGGGGAGAGGGAGTGAGAGAGAGAGGGGAGAGGGAGTGTGTGAGAGAGAGAGGGGAGAGGGAGTGTGAGAGAGAGAGAGGGGAGAGGGAGTGAGAGAGGAGGGGGAGGAGGGAGTGAGGAGAGAGGGGGAGAGGGGAGTGAGAGAGAGAGGGGAGAGGGAGTGAGAGGAAGAGGGAGTGAGAGAGAGAGGGGGAGAGGGAGTGAGAGAGAGAGGGGGGAGAGGGAGTGAGAGAGAGAGGGGGGAGAGTGAGAGAGAGAGGGAGAGAGGGAGTGGGAGAGAGAGGGGGAGTGAGAGAGGGGGAGAGGGGTGAGAGAGAGAGGGGACGAAAGAGAGAGAGGGGGAGAGGGAGGGAGAGAGAGGGAGAGAGAGAAGGACGAGAGAGAGAGAGGAGAAGAGAGAGAGAGACAGAAGAGAGAAGAGAGAGAGAGAGAGAGAGAGAGAGAGAGAGAGAGAGAGAGAGAGAGAAGATGGCGACATGAGAATGACATTTTTTGATTTTAAGTGTTAAGTTGTTAAAATTTTCGAAACGAATATCGACTTAGGATACGCTTAATAAACAGTCCCCTTAACGGTCCTCTGACGACCTGCCACGAAATTTTCTGATCAAATGTTCTCTGCAAATCTTGATATTCAAGGGACCACTCCATGTGACTCGATGAGAATAAACAACACATCAAGGAACTGAGTAATTTCGCAGCAATTCATAAAAATTCCCCCTGAGGAAGGCCGCGGGACAGACTAATTGAATTCAGGTGGGAAAAATATTATGATTTACACACATCAATGAGTTACATTTACGAGTTATATATCAAGCATGGCGATTCGCAATTTTCACCTTTTAAAATAAATAATGGTCTAACAATTTGTTTAATTTAACGAATTTGGTGAATGTTTGTAAATATCACAAATAAAAAAAAAAAAAAAAAAAAAAAAAGGAAAACAACTAAATATTTTTTCAACCAATTTATGGCATTTCGGCAATGTAATGGTTTCTAGAACTTTAAACATAATCCTAATAGGCTGATATTAAGCTTGCCGAAGATATATTTGCGAAAAATCACGATTAAGACTTTTCCCACAAAGCACAAACAAGAGCATTCCATTCACAAAATACCGGATACTACGCATGTATTGCCAGAAAAAAATCAGTCCACACACCATATGGGAATACCAGTTGGAAATATACGCAACTGAACATGTACTGCACTGCACGTACCTTAGAATTATTTAAAAGACTGGGTGTGCGTGCGCTTATGCGCTTACTATATACAAACAAAATAGACCTATACAACGCACGGGTTTGACCTACGCCTTTACATATGTACATAAACATGTGTTATGTGTGTATACAAGGTCATCTGAACACATGTAGTATCATCATGAACATCCACGAAAACAAGAAAATCCACTAAATTTTAAAAACAAAACACAAATTAAATCAGCCCATTAAAATACGTGCAGAGAGAGAGAAGAGAGAGAGAGAGAGAGAGAGAGAGAGGAGAAGAGAGAGAGAGAGAGAGAGAGAGAGAAGAGAGAGAGAGAGGGAGAGAGAGAGGGGGGGAGGAAAGGGGGGGGGGGAGGGGGGGAGGGGGGGGAGAGGGAGGGAGGGAAGGAGAGAGAGAGAGGGGAAGGGAGAGAGAGGGGGAGGGAGGAGAGAGGGAGAGAGGGAGAGGGGAGAGGGGAGAGGAGGGAGAGAGCGAAGGAGGAGGGAGAGAAGAGGGAGAGAGGGAGAGGAAGAGAGAGAGAGAGAGACGAGAGAAGAGAGAGAGAGGAGGAGAGAGGAGAGAGAGAGGGGGGGGGGAGGGGGGAAGGGAGAGAGGGAGGCGAGAGGCGAGGAGGAGAGAGGAGAGAGAGAGGGGGAGGGGGAGGGAGAGGGAGGGGAGGGAGGGAGGGAGAGGAGAGAGGAGAAGGGAGAGAGAGAGAGAGAGGAGGAGAAGAGAGGAGAGGAGAGAGAGGAGAGGAGAGAGAGAGAGGAGAGAGAGAAGAGAGAGAGAGAGAGAGAGAGGAAGAGAAAAGGGTGAGAGAGAGAGAGAGAGAAGGAGAGAAGAGGAGAGAGAGAGAGAGAGAAAGAAGGAGAGAGAGGAGAGAGAGAGGAGAGAAGAGAGGAGAGAGAGAGAGAGGATAAGAATGAGAGAGGAGGAGGAGAGAGGAGAGAGAGGAGATAGAAGAGAGAGAGAGAGAGGAGAGCGGAGGGAGAGAGAGAGAGAGGAGAGAGAAAAAAGAAAAATGAGAGAGAGAGAGACAAAGAATGAGGAAAAAAGAAGAGTGAAAAGAAAGAAAAACAAAAAAACAATCCGACCCAAGTATCCCCCACCCCACCGACCCACCCCAACCCCACACCGAGTCTATCCCAGAAAAACACAAACGAGAAGAAAACCAACGGCTTGAAAAATGCCTTCGTGCCAAACCTCCCTAACGTCTCCGATCGACAGTGACAGCAACATGATGCTTTTCAGACAGGAGGCGTGACAGGAGGTATGACAAGGGGGTATGACAAGGGGGGGGAGGTAGACAAGGGGGGATTTCAGGAGGGGGGGGATTTGACAAGGGGATTTTTCAGGAGGTATGACAAGGGGGGATTTCAGGAGGTATGACAAGGGGGGATTTCAGGAGTATGACAAGTGAGGGGATTTTCAGGAGGTATGGACAAGGGGGATTTCAGGAGGTATGCAAGGGGGATTTCAGGAGGTTTGACAAGGGGGGGATTTCAGGAGGTATGACAAGGGGGGATTTCTATTTTCAGCGGACAAGGGGGGATTTGGATCATGGAAGGTATGACAAGGGGGGATTTTCAGGGTGACAAGGGGATTTCAGGAGGTATGACAAGGGGCGTGACAACGAGGACCTTCGCGGTGTGGCATGCCGTCGGTTGTGATGCGGGGAAAACAGTGTGGCGAACGAGTGAAGGTCAAGGAATAGTCATAGTATAATGATAATGCTAATGATGATGATGATAATCAATAATGATAATAAAATAATAATATAAATAATGATGACGGTGGAGGCGGTGCTGATAGTTATGATGATAATAATAATAATGATGATAATAACAGCGATAACAGTAAATGTCAATGATGATATTAATAATGATAATAATAACAATGTCATTAACAAAATAATATAAAAATAATAATAGCAATGATGAGAGTAAAATAACAATGCCGATTACCACTACAGCAACAGCAACAACAATAATAACAATAATAATCATAACAATAACCTTGGTAATACTCGTAATATAAACATAAACCCAAAGCACTTAGTGTAGGAGAATTTACCTTGATTTTTAAACCATTCGTCTACGCATTAACCCAGGGGTTCCCAACGCGGAGGCCATGACCCCTAGGTGGGCCACAGGGTACTATAGGGGGGGGGGGGGGGAAAAATGAAAATTGTGACGTCGAATTAAACTGAATTTCATCTCATCTTCAATACCTACATAAAACCATCTCTCGTGTATTCAATAACTTGGAATCTCTCCATAAAGGTTTCTTGTCCAATAGCTATATCGACACCATTACGCTATTCAAAACTATTAATAACCGAATTTGAAAAACATAACAGTCACTGAACGGGGGTCGAGGGGCCACCGAATGAAAAATGTTTCGAACCACCGTACCAATCTCCCCGATTCATTCCGAGTTTCATTCCAAAGTTTCAGCCTTTCAAGACGTTTGCTCGGCTCCGACGCGTCAGATATAAAAATAGACGTGTAATTAGAGCAGTGTCAGTCTTTCTTATGAGAGACTCGGCTGTCAGTTTTGCCACATGAATACAGGGGCAAGACAGATCCATCCACTCATCATATCTGTTAACACTTCCCATCTATATCTATATATAAATATAAAGACGTAGACGCACATTTATTTATGCATATGTATGCGTATATATGTGTGTGTGTATATCTATCTATCTATCTATCTATCTATCTATCTATCTATCTATCTATATATATATATATATTTGAACAAATAAATAAATAAATCTATATATACATCAATACACATCTCTATATATACACACATATATCTATACACACTCACACACATACATATATTTATATATATATATATATATATATATTATATATATTATATTTATATATATTATATATATATATATATGGTGTGTGTGTGTGTGTGTGTAAACTCATTGTGTGTGGTGTGTGTGTGTGGTGTGTGTGTGTGTGTGAGTAATGTCATAACATCTCCCCCACGCCCCTCATCCCCCCTCACCCGCCTAATAATCCCTCCCCTACATCCCCCCAGCCCCCCCCCCCCTGCCGCCCCTCTGTCCGTCATTACAATAATTATCCTACCTCCTCCCCTACCTTACTATATAAATTATATACTAACTACCTATCTATTCACCCCTTACTCCCCCCTCCATACCCTCTATCCATAAATACCCTCACTATATATATGCTTTGTTGTGTGTGATGTCAGTGTGCGCGTGCGTCTCGTGTGTGCGCTGTCGCGCTTGCTGTGTGTGTGTCTGCTGCTCGTGTGTCGTGTGCCGGTGGTGCGTGAACCTCCTCCAACCACCCTCCCTCACCCCCCTCCCCCCTCTCCTCCCCTCTCTCCCCCCGTCTCAAATTGCTCCCCCACCTGGCCTCATCAATCGGCACTTCCACAGCTTCCCGGCCTTTGTGTGTGTGTGTGGCTGTGTCTGTGTGCCGTCGGCCGTGGTGACGTGCCCCGTCGCCCCGTGCGTAGTGCTGTGACTGTCGCTATGCTATGTGCTTATGGTATGTGTATTGCTGCCTGCTGTGTCGTTGTGCTATGGGCCTTACTCCATGTGTACCTGTTACGTCACTGTATGTGCTATACATTCTATCTTATACCATGTGGTCGTGTGTATATATTATACTACTACTATCCATACCTATACTATACTACCTATATATCACTATATATCGCTGTGTGTGCTCGAGCCTGTGCTGTGGTGTTGCTGTCCTGTGTGTGTCCACCCTACTTCCCTTCTGCTGTGTGTGTGTCGCTGCCTGTATGTGTGTACTACTATCATAAATATATACATATATAATATATCCTCATCTCCTCTATATATATTATGTATATCAAATAAGCCAATTCATCACCCCCGCTTACTTACCAACACAGGCGCCACCACCGAAACCTGCTCTAAAATCGAACTAGAAACCCGCGAACTCTCGCGTAAAGTAATCACAAACAAGTCATCACACTAATGCCACATGAACAACTCACCAGTTCCACCTAACCACCGCACACACAACCCACCTACCACAAAAAATGATACACCGCGTCACCATGTCATCCCAACACTATCTTCTCAAAGACATACCACATTATATACATGTCTCCTCCCCCAACTCCAAACACATTAACACGACGGTCGCCCTCTCCGGCTGCGAGAGGAACACGTCGCCAAAGACCTCATTACCCTACACAGCAACCCAAATGCATATAATAATAAAGATAGAAAAGGCTCAATGCGACAATTAACACCCACTACCCCCCCTCCGCCACACTCTGGCCACGCACAATTGCATAAAAAAGCGTGTTGTTTTCACTCTATGACCAATGAAGTGAAGTCAACAGCGCACGCAATGCGGCAAATGGAAGTGGGTAATCACGGAAAAAGATCAGATATGTGATAGTGAAATAAACAGATGAAAAGAATCGAACCGTGGCATGCGCTTAAGTTCAGCCCGACGCACACGGGGAGGAAACACAGTTCGAAACTCTTTTTTTTCTCCTTTCTCTCTTTTCTTTCTTTTTCGGTGGACGGTTGCGTAAGATCATAGCTATATTTATGTATGTATATCCTTAGTGAGGCTATCTTCTAATAATTTCTTACTTCTTCGTTCGTTCGTATCTTCCATATATATTTTGATTACTAATTAATCGTAGTCACTTATTTGGCTTTCTTCTCCGTGGTTTTTCTTTTTTCGGATTTTTATCTTATTACCAGCTATTCTGCCCTTCTCCTGTTTCTGGTTTTTTCTGGATTCATTGATCAGACTCATCATGGGTATTATTCACGTTCTGTGATCTTTTCGTAAGGCTTTTCCTCTATCTTCCTCTCCCTCCTCCTCCCTCTCCTTTCTCTAGTACTCTACTTTGCTCCTCTCTCCTCTCTTTCTCCTTCCCTCCCCTCTCTCTTTGCTCCTTCTCCTCTCTTGTTCCTTCTTCCTCTCCTCCTCCGCTCCCATCCTCCTCTTTTAGATGACCAATCGCAGAGTGAGGAAACCCACATCTTAATAAGATGCAATGTTAATTTCGCGAATGCCAAGGAAGAGTGACGCGAAATATATCGCGCACTGCACATTTTCATAACGAATAAGGTTGTTTGTCCGTTCGGAAAAGGTATTCGGAACGTAAATGTGTGTCCTCCTTTAAGCGGCGTCCGGAAATTTATGAGGTTCCGTTGTACATGAAGGCGATTTCGAGCTTCTTTTTACGACCTCAGGTTTTCAGGACCCGACGGATTCTTAAAGCAAGTCTCGTTCGGAATACCAATGGCAGTTTCGGTAGCAGAATCTCGAACACTTCTCGGCTTTTTCAGTTTCGGAAACGGATTCGAACAGGTCTCTTGACATAAAGGCAGTTTTGTAAGCGAATTCGAACACATTCGTGGGGTGGGGGATAGCAGATTCGGAAACGAATTCGAAACTGTCTCGAAGAAATAAATGGCGGTTTCAATTACGGATCTGAACACGTCTCTGGGGAAGAAAAATGGCAGTTTCTATAATATATTTGAACACGTCTTAAGGGAACAAAAATGGCGGTATTGTCGGAACTGTGGGTAACGGATTTCGACACGTTCTCCCGCGGCGTTATCTCGAAGCAGAGATTAAACAAATCAAATTATTAGTTTAAGATTTTAAAACGACCCGGAAGCAAAGAAAGGGAAGACAAATTTAAGACCAAGGAAATAATCTGCTTAGGTGGTAAATTTCTGTGGCAGAAAGGGAGCCTTTTAAGGTAGATCACGCTAACAATGAATATTTTGGTCCCACGATGGCGGAGGTCCGTTTCCTTCCCCGAGAAAGAGACCTTTGTGTGCCCCCAGAGGATTAAGACGGGAGAATATTTAAAAAAATGCTCGTGTCAACTCCCAGAAAAACGTCCTTTGGACTAAATCTAAAGAAGAGGAAAAATTGCCGTCCGGGAGGAGTTTTAAATCACCTTCGATTACTTGGACTTGTTGCAATTAACAGTGGAGAATGACAGTAAATAAGGAAAAGAGGGAGGGAGAAGAGGGAAGCGTGTTGGTGGGGGGTGGGGAAAAGGTAAGATGTGTTGGTTTTTGGGGCGGGCGACGGGTAAAGATGAAAAAAGTAAGAGTGTCAGTAGTTTTCTACGAGTCTGTTATTCAGATCTAGTGGGCTAGTAACGACAAGAGCATGAATCACAGCCAGACACACGACTAACAATCACCCAGCTTGCATCTCGTAACACCAATACAATCTGAGATCACATCAGTACTCTACACCACCCTACTCCTCTCCGCTCCACCAAACATTCCGAGCCTACGTCCATAAATCATACTGACACCAGGCGCCATTACTCTACGACATAACACAACCACATAATCGCCCGAAACCAATAAAGATAACACTTTAATAATTGTCTTTGTCTTTTTTTCCTCTTCTTATATCAACATTGCCAAACCTCCGTCTGATTTCTCACCTTTTAGCACTTGGCGGTAGTGTAGCAAGCGCCATATGAAGGGTGGGGGAGAGACTTGGCTCTCTGGCCTCAATCCGAGTCCTCGATATCACCACAAACAAGATAGACAATCACACACTCTAAAGCGAGCAATGATTAAACACAATCAGCAATCAAATCGCTCAGTACGATAACCTAAGCTCCTGATACGACACCGTCCAAACTCACACACCAACCCGATCCCATCTCGTTAAGAAAAAACTAGCGCCCGGATGTTCAGCCCGCCGAATCCCGCGCTGTTGCAAAACCCCCCCCCGCCGCCCCCCGCCCCCCTCTCATCCCCGACCCTCCCCAACGATCTCGACACGAAAATCCCCACCCGTACGCCAAAATAAGTATTCATCCTACGCGCCATTTTTCTCCTCCTTCCTCGCACAAAAGCTCGAATCCTTAAAACTCATCAACATTCCAAGGGCGCGGTAATCGCCCTCCTTCGGCGCCCACGGCACAAGCACACCCCGTGTCCACCCGCCCGCCCCCAGTGCCCACGCACAGACAGCCTGTGTCCACGCCGCCCGCCCGTGCCACGCCCACGCCCCTGTGTCGCAACAGCCGCCCGCCCCGCGCCCCACGCCGCCCGTTCCCTTGCCCATACTGCCCACGCCTTTGTACCCACACCGCCCACCCTTGTGCCCACGCCGCCCGCCCCTGTGCCCACGCCGCCCGTTTCCTTGCCCACACCGCCTACCCCTGTGCCCACCGCCGCCCGTATCCCTGCCCATACCGCCCACATTGTAGCACACCGGCCACCCTTGTACCCACGCCGCCCGCCCCTGTGCCACGCCACCCCGTTCCCTTGCCACCACCGCCCACCCTTGTGCCCACGCCGCCCCGCCTCTGTGCCCACGCCGCCCGTTCCCTTGCCCACACGCCCACCCTGTGCCCACCCGCCACCCTTGTACCCACGCCGCCCCCCTTGTACCCACGCCGCCCACCCCTGTGCCCACGCCGCCCCACACACCCGACCCTGGCGACCCGCGGCGGCTAAGGTTACGGGCGCCGCCGCCTCGTCCCCGCCTCGTCGCGAATGCCACAACAAACAACGCGTTTATTTGCTCGTCTGCGCCATTATCACTCCGTGTCCGTAACATCAACACTCCCTACGAGGCATCCACGTCTCCGATCGGTCCACGCCGACAGAGCCACCTTGTCGCGCCCCGCTCTGCCGCGCCGTGCCCGTCTGCCGCCCCCTCTGCCATCCCGCCCGCTCTGCCATCCCCCGCCGCGATATGTGACGCCATTCCGCCACCCATTTTTTTTTCTTGCCTTTTAAGCCAGGCTGTCATAATCGCCCACAGTTCACGGAGTCACGGCGTCGAGGCGTCGTAAAGCGAGAAATGAGCCATAACCGAGAGAGAGAGAGAGAGGAGAGAGAAGAGAGAGAGAGAGAGAGAGAGAGAGAGAGAGAGAGAGAGAGAGAGAGAGAAGAGAGAGAGAGATAGGGGTAGGGAGGGAGTGAGGGATGGAGGAAAGGAGGAGAGGAGAGAGTGAGTGAGAGGGAGGGAGAGGGATAGGGGTAGGGAGGGATAGAGGGAGAGAGAGAGAGTGAGAGGGAGGGAGAGGGGGAGGGAAAGGGAGAGGGGAGGGGAAGGGAGAGGGAGAGGAGGAGAGGGGGAGGGAGGAGGAGGAGAGGGGGAGGAGAAGGAGGAGAGGGGGAGGAGAGGAGGAGAGGGAGGAGGGAGAGGGAGAGGGAGGGAGAGGGAGAGGGAGAGGAGAGAGGAGAGAGAGAGAGAGAGAGAGAGAGAGAGAGAGAGAGAGAGAGAGAGAGAGAGAGAGAAGAGAGAGAGAGAGAGAGAGAGAGAGAGAGAGAGAGAAGAGGGGGGGGGGGGGGAAGATAGAGAAAAAAAGGGCAAAAATGTGTGTGTGAGAGAGAGAGACAGAGAGGACGAGAAAGAAATAACAGAGAAAGAGAGAAGGAAGAAGGATAAAGAAAAAAAAAGATACAGAGGGAGAATGAGGGAAACTGAGAAAAAAAAGAGAATGCGAGACCAAAAGAAAGAAAAGAGAGAAGGAAATAGAAAAAGAGAGACAATAGTAATACTTCCTTAAGGAGTAACAGGCACGGGGCTTCCACCTTGGCACCACCTTAAACGTAAACACAAATCCGTGCAAAGGTTCTCAAAGTGGGTTGTTTGAGGTTTTCCAGCGGGTGGTCTGTTGGCAAATAATTTACGTGCCGCCTAGTGTGCCGTATTATTTGCACTTTATATACTGACACTTATCAAAATCATTAAATCAAAGTATTCTAAATACTGAGTTTGCTGTAACTGATTTACTTGCCATCCACTGTTCGTTATTGTACTTTATACTGACACTCATTATAATAATTAAATCAAATTAATCTAAACACTGACTTTTGCGATTGATTTACTTGCTATTTTATGTCGTATTACTGTAATCTATACCGACATTGAAAAAGTCAAAGTAATTGAAATATTCACATTTTTGTGATAACTACGACAGCGGAATCATATCCTACAAGGGGATTATTCAGCTTCAACGAAGGGCAAAGACCCCTGACCTAACCCACTCCGCCCAATAATAATTACCACATGAAAGAGATAACACCCACCCCCACCCCACCCCACCCCCACCACCCACCCTCCCCAACCCCCCCGACCTACCCAGATAAGACCAGCCCACCGTGCCATGCCGTGCCAAGAGAACCTCAAAACCCCGCCCACCCCCAAGCCCAAAACGTGCCAGTGACCTCCGCGTGGGCGTGCTCATCCGGCTCCCTCGCAGCGTCCTACTTCCCAGCGAATAAATATCCCGATCGCAGGCACAAAGTCGCGTGCGCCCGTCCGGCGACTGTTGGACAATTTGCACTCGGGGGCCGCTCCGCATAATGTCGCCAGAGGGTCCAGTCCCCTTTCTTCCTCTCTCTCCGCTTCGTGCAATCATTTATACATTTCTCATGCAAGCTTTACGTTAATCATATCATGCATGGAGAAACAAATTAGCCTTGCATACAAGCACATACGGTAATGCATGTGCGACAATGAGGTCATTGCCAAATGCCAATCATTAATTGTACATGTGCATGAATGGGGAGAGGAGTGGAGGGAAGGGAGGGAGGAAAGATAGGGGATAAAGGGAGAGAAAGGGAGAAACATAGAGAGAGGGGGACCCCTGGGGAGAGAGGGTAGGGAGGGACGGAGGGAGAGAAGAGAGAGGGGGGGGAGGGAGGGAGGAGGGAGGAGAGAGAGGGAGGGAGGGAGAGGGAGAGGAGAGAGGGAGAGAGGGAGAGAGGAGAGAGAGGAGGAGAGGAGAGAGGAGAGGAGAGAGAGAGGAGAGGAGAGGAGAGGAGAGAGAGAGAGAAAGGAGAGAAGAAGGAGAGAGAAAGAGAGAGAGGAGAGAGAAAGGAGAGGAGAGGAGAGAGAGGGAGAGAAGAGGAGAGAGAAAGGAGAGGAGAGGAGACAAATAGACAGAGAGGGAGAGAGAGAGAGAGAGAGAGAGAGAGAGAGAGAGAGAGAGAGAGAGAGAGAGAGAGAGAGAGAGAGAGAGAGAGAGAGAGAGAGAGAGGAGAGGAGAAGAGAGATAAAGGAAAGGAAAGGAGGAGAGAAAGGAGATAAGAAGGAGAGAGAAAGGAGAAAAAGAAGAGAGAGGAGAGAGAGGAAGAGGAGAGGAGAGAAATAGACAGAGAGAGAGGGAGGGAGGGAGGGGGGGAGAGAGAGAGAGAGAGAGAGAGAGAGAGAGAGAGAGGAGAGAGAGAGAGAGAGAGAGAGAGAGAGAGAAGAGAGAGAGAGAGAGAGAGAGAGAGAGAGAGAGAGAGAGAAAGAGAGAGAGAGACGGGAGAAGTGAGGGAGAGGGAGAAAGAGAGTAAGGAGAAGAGATGAGAGGAGAAAGAGAGAGAGAGAGAAACATGAATGGTAATAAAAGCCCGCGTGTTTACCTTCGCGATCCGACCGTAAATCTCAGACTAGCATCGGAAAAAAAACAGCTGAGTGGGGAACCCGGGGCGACGCAACCCTAGTCACCACCCTGGTAACCCCCCTCCCCCTCTCCTCCCCTCTCCCCCGCACCAAGTGTCATCACCACCCACCCACCCCCTCCAACCTACAATACGCGCGTCTGGCGTCTCCCCCTAGGCCTACGTCAACGCTTCAGACGCTCAGGACGTGACCACGACGCGTTCAGACGACCCCGCAGGAGCACCCTCCCCCCCCCTGGACCTTTAAAACCGCCGGATATGTGGTTTCTTGAGCAAAAGGCAAGCCGCGAGGGGACGAGTCACAACCTCTCGCTGACGTAAACACGACCCGCTGTCTCCGCAGGGGCGCTGGCCTTACCTCAGTCGACGGCGCTCGTGTATGTGACCGGTTATTCTCCTTCGTTCCTTCGTTGCTTGTTCCTTTTCTTTGTCATTTTTGTCTTTCTTTTCCTCTCTTATTTTTTGTACCGTTCGTTTCTTTTATTTTTTCTCTCTCTTTCTTTCTTTCCTCTCTTCATCTCTCTCTTCTCTCTCTTCCCGTCTCTCTCCTCTCTCTCTCTCTCTCTCTCTCTCTCTCTCTCCTTCTCTCCTCATCTCTCTTTCTCTCCTCATCTCTCCTCTCTCCTCTCTCTCATCTCTCCTCATCTCCCATCTCTTCTCTTCATCTCCCATCTCTTCTCTTCTCTCTCTTCTCTTCTCTCTCTCATCTCTCTCTTCTCTCTCTCTCCTCTCTCTCTTCTCCCTTCCCTTTCTTCTTCTTCTTGACTATAATTCCTCCTTCAGTTATTCCGTGCGATGACTTCACCTCGTTTCCCTTCCCTGTCCGTGTCTGTTGCATGCTCCTCTCCCATGGCCTACTTCCCTCCCTATTGTTGCCTTCCTTATTCCTGTCTCTGTCTTCTGTCTCTTACTCTTGCTCCTACTCCTCCTTTTCCTTCTCCCTCCACCTCCACCTCCTCATCCCATTCCCCTTCCACTTTGCATCCTTCTCCCTCTTTGTCATCCTCCCCTTCTTCTTTTTTCTCCTTCTCCTTCCCCCCCCCCCCCCCATCCTCCACTTCATACTCTTTCTCCTCTCCCCCTCCCTTCCTCCTCCTCCTTTCCCCCCCCACACCACCCTCCTCCTCCCTCTCCTCTTCTCCTTCCTTCTTTTCCTCCTCCTTCCCCCTCTCCCCCCTCCCTTCCCCTCTTTTCCCTCCTCTCCTTCCCCTCCCTTCTCACTGCGCCCTCCCCTGCCCGCGGCCCCAAAGCTCTCCACAATAACATTTATTCTCTGACACGGCCATATTTGGCACTGAGTTCATTCTTTTATTATCTAAACCAGCGCGTTCGCGACATTTGCCCTCGTGCCAGGCCGCATAAAAGTCCATTCAGATCTACCCTCGTGTTTTTTTTTTTTTTCTTTTCTTTTTTGAACATTTCATATACATCTAGATCTACCCTCGTGTTTATTTCTTTTTCTTTTTTCTTTTGAACATTTCATATACATCTAGATCTACCCTCGTGTTTTTTTTTTTTTCTTCTTTTGAACATTTCATATACATCTAGATCTACCCTCGTGTTTTTTTCTTTTCTTCTTTTTTAACATTTCATATACATGTAGATCTACTCTCGTTTTTTTTTTTTTTTTTTTTTTTTTTTTTTTTTTTTTTTTTTTTTTTTTTTAACATTTCATATACATTTAAATCTACCCTCGTTTATTTTTTTTTTTTTCTTTTTTACATTTCCTATACTTCTACATGACCATCTTTTTTTAATATGCCATTCACATCTACCATATATATTTTCCTTGTCCTCACCATTCACATTTTTCATTTCTCATTTCTTCTCGTGTGTCTTACTCCTCCCCTCTTCTATACCCTCCTAACCCCTCACCCTCTGCCCTCCCCTCCCCCCTCCTTCCCTGTGAGTCAGTGCGGGATGGCTTAACCTCGGGACGTGGGCGGGTGGGCTGGATTGTTGGGGTTGAGGGGTTGAGGAGGACGAGAGGGGGGAAAGGAGGGGCGAGAGGGGGAAAGGGAGGGCGAGAGGGG